AATTCATGGTAAGTTCTGAGCCTTCTAAATCACTGACACTGGTTGGGGTTTGATTCACCATCAGGTCAGTAATTTCTGCAGAAAGAGAAACACAGATGATGGCCAGGGCCAGCTCCAGGGTTTTGGCCGCCCCAAGCAGCCAAACAAAACAAAACAAAACAAAAAGCCGTGATCGCGATCTGTGGCGGCAATTCAGCAGCAGGTCCTTCGCTCCGAGCAGGAGTGAGGGACCGTCTGCCGAATTGCTGCCGAACAACTGGACGTGCCGCCCCTCTCCGAAGTGGCCGCCCCAAGCACCTGCTTGGTAAGCTGGTGCCTGGAGCCGGCCCTGATGATGGCACCTTCATTGAGAAATAGTTCAATGTGCCACCAGACAAGGGCAGATGTACAAAATGAATCTCTCCAGTCCTGTCGTTTAGTGCCCTTATCCAAACCTGCCTATTATAGTTTCCCCTGCTTGTTTAGAGTTCTTTCGTTTGGCCCCATATAGAGCTGTATCGTGCATGTCAAGACGTTTATTCTGTTTAGTGGGCAGGTAACCCCAGAAGCTTCAGTCTAGACAAACCCCCTACAACAATGTGATTTATTACCCGAACCTTGTGTACGCCTGACACGCCTGCCAAATTCCTTACATTCAAACCCTTCTTGAGACCTATTTCCCTCCACCAGCCCAATGCAGGGCAAGAGAGAGGGTGGCCAATTCTCCTTTGTTACAGAAAAATGGGATTCCCTGAAGGACGTGGAATGGGCAGTTCTGAGAAGTGATGCACTTCTGCTGGCAATGGCAGGGGAGTGAGGATCGAGGTGCAACCGTTACTCTGGGCAGGGCTGTGCTTACAGCATAGCGAGAGAGTATCAGCAAGTCTTTAGCACTGGTTTTACTGGTGGAAACGTCAGCAGCTCCAGAGCTAGGCGGCAGCTGAGCAGGGGTTTTGAGGATCTCCATGGCCCCCAGATGTTGGATTTAAGGGCCTAAAGCCCTGTGTGGATTTAGTCTTTTAATCTCTCTGTGTCTCACTTCCCAATCTACTGTTAGTACGTCCGCTCGATCTCCCCCCTTTGTCTGTCTTGTCTATTTAGAGTGTAAATTCTTTGGCTCAGGGGCTCTCGCACTATGTCCATGTACAGTAGAGCTAATTGCAAATGTTCTAGCAAAACTTACCTTAGATTGAAAATGCCAATGCACTGACGAGAACTGATTCACCAAATCTACTACAGATTTGACTCCACTTTCGTCAAAACACACACCGGTTTCTGTTGGTGTTCCAAGATCCACAGGGTTCAAAAAAGAACCAGGTAAGTTCCTGGAGGATGGGTCCATCAATGGCTGTTATTCAGGATGGGCGGGGATGGGGATGCCAGAGGCTGGGAATGAGCGACAGGGGATGGATCACTGGATGATTCCCTGTTCTGTTCATTCCCTCTGGGGCACCTGGCACTGGCCACTGGCAGAAGACAGAAGACTGGACCTTTGGTCTCACCCAGTCTGCCCGTTCATATGATTCACCAAATCTACTACAGATTTGACTCCACTTTCGTCAAAACACACACCGGTTTCTGTTGGTGTTCCAAGAGCCACAGGGTTCAAAAAAGAACCAGATAAGTGCCTGGAGGATGGGTCCATCAATGGCTATTAGTCAGGATGGGGATGCCAGAGGCTGGGAATGAGCGACAGGGGATGGATCACTGGATGATGCCTGTTCTGTTCATTCCCTCTGGGGCACCTGGCACTGGCCACTGGCAGAATACAGGACACTGGGCTAGATGGACCTTTGGTCTCACCCAGTCTGGCCGTTCTTATGTTCTCTTGTCCCATGAGCCCCAGCTCGGGGCGTCGGGAGTCGAGTCTCGGGGTGGGTGGGCTCCCCACGCTGTGGCAGAGCCAGGTCTCTAGGGGCTCTTGTTGTCTGCTTGGCTCCCTGCTCGAGCCAGGGCTCTTGGCGCTTCCAGTGTCCCTGCCATGGAGCTGGAAGCCTGGAAGTTCCAGAACCAGCTCCCAGGGGTGCAGCTCTGGGGTCGCTCCGCCATGCACACTGCCCCGGGCTGGAGATCCCAGGACCTCTAGAGTCCTGGGCCGGTGACTCCCCAGGCTGCTCTACTTGTAACTGGCCTCTGGGACTCTGGAAGCCGTCGGGTCCCTGGCCCGGCTGCAGTCCTGATCCGTCTTGGTTTGGAATGAAGCCAGTTCTGAAATAATGCACCAGGGATTCTTTGCATCCCTCTGTCCCCACAAGGTCCCTGGGGGACACCCTCCCATCCCCCTCTATTTCAGGGACTCCCTAGCCCCCACCCTCGTGCCAGGAGCTCTGTGTCCCCCCCCATTCTTCCCCCTCCTCGCTA